GACTTGGCATTTGTCCTTATTAAATTTGAATCTGTTGTTTTCAGTACAGTGCTTCAATCTACTCAAGATCACTTTAAGTTTTGTTTCTGTCTTCCTGGGTATTAGCTGTTCCACACAACTTAGTATCATCTGAAAATTGGACAAACATCCCTTGCACTTCCTTTTTCTTGTATTTTTGAAATGAGACATAAATACAGACTGCATGCAAATTTCTGGAATAAAATAACAAAAAGATCTTAGTGCTGAAGAAATGTCTGCAGTTTGTCATTGTCCTTTTAGACTGTCCCCAAAATTCCAGCCATTCCTTAGAAAGGTTTCCTTTAAGACATTATTAGAGGCACTGAATGATCTTTTGTGCTCTAAGGAATGTGAAATCATACCATGCCTCAATGTTGCGTGACTCACATTGGGGGATTTTTAAAGTTGTAAAGGCCACTGCCATCTTGATTATCTTTTGCATAGCTCAGTATACCACACATACAGTTTCTGTTTATCTCCGCCTTTTCCAGTAAAGGCTGGAGGAGTTTTTTTTCTTTTTTACAGGATCACTTAAAAGACTGTCAGGAAGCAAAATATGAACATACTGTCACACTTGCATAAAGTATAACACTCTTCTCTTAAAACATTAATTTTGCAGGACCTTCTGGAACCGAAGTATTTTTTACAGTTTGGTCCTTGGTAGCAAATAATAGTGCCAGTTTCTGATTCTAATCTAAATAGCTTCTAGTATTGTCATTTCAGTGTTTCTACATTATGAGTTTGCCACTATATATCCCTAGTCAGCAACCACATCCACTGGAACATATTGAAGGCTCTGATGGAATATTCTAGAAGCATATGTATGGTACTGATAATGTTGCCAGAAAGACTGGTCTGGACTTCATCTGAGGTAATTCCTGCCTCATTCTCCCTTTTTGACATTAAGAATAATTTACAGCTAATTATATTTTTCATAAAGTAAACTTCTCCTCCTTTTATTTTTAATTTTATGTTTTCCATTTTTTAGCAACATTGTTTTTTTTTATATTTACATTTCACCTATTTCCAAAACTGGGACAGAAGGCAGATCACAGTATTAAAAGGTTTGAACCATTAAACCATTAATAAATATATACACAAATCAACTACAATGCTAAAATTATATAAAATGCCAAAATAAAAGCAATTTTATAAAAAGCAATAAAAGCATTATAAACAGCAGAGCTGCTCCAACACAATCTCACAGACCCAGACTATTCCCAAAGGCATGACAGAATGGAAGGTTTTTGCCTGCCTCCAGAAGCATTACTGAGAAGGTGCGAATCTAGCACCTCTGTGCAGGCCATCTGGAGCCCTGGGCAGCTCCAGGTGCTCTGCTGCATTCCCACCAAACATGCCTCTGAAAGACATGGGACCTTGTCAGAGTTTGGGTGAGCTTCTTTCTTTCCCCTTGCTTTTAAACTCCTTTCTGTGTTTTGTCACTGTTTTTATCATATTTGTGTTTTTTTGTTATTATTACGCTCCCTGAAAGCTTTGGCAATAGGACAACTTTTAAACGGAATAGCAGCAGCATCTCTGCTAACCCTAACCACAGTTAACACTAACTATGGTTGTGTCTTAAGTCAGAATGCAAAGCCATGTTTTGAAATAAATTTGCAAACCACGGAGATAAGAAAAGAGGTAATTCATTCCAGAGAAAAGAGAGTGAGATGGAGGCAGAACAGTGTGTCCTCCAGTTCTGTTCTACAGTCCAATGACTGAGGGAAATCAGTGTGGATCTACATTTTCCTATATTATTTTCAGTCCTTCTGTGACTCAGAAACAGTGTGGCCCCTGTACTAGTTTTCTGTCTTAGGTTTATTGTTTTAACATGACCCATCTAATAATAGAAGCAGAAAGAGAACAAAGCTGTATAGTGTCATGCAGGGATGGCAATCAAGGCAGATTTCTATTTCTCAAGGTTTAAAGAGAAACTTCCTTTACTTCATAAGGAACATTAGTGGTTAAAACCTGTGCTGAATCCATTTGTTTTTCCTTTCACAACATAATGTGTGATACACAGCTTTATTCTTGACAAATATGTATTTATTACAGCCAGCATTGAGTCCATTAAGTGCTTTGTTAACTTTGTGCCCTCCTTCTCCCTACACGGGCATAATTAGTGTACAAGAACATAAGAAGACAGTCTTGGATGAGACCAGTTATCGATCTAGTCCAACAACTTCCTTCTCACAGTGGTCAGTCAGGTGTTTTGCGAAGCCCTCCAGCAAGATACAGCGACAGCCATCTCCTGTTACTGCTTCCAGCAACGAATGTTTGAAAGCACGCTGCCTCTGAATCTGGAGGTGGTCTGATCTGGAGACTGTCTAGACTCTCAGTGACTAGTAGCCATTGAAAGCCTTGACATGGGACAACAATTTGCCATCTTTTAATGTTTGACTAAGCTGGTTTTTTATGTAGACAAAAGTATAGAGGCTGCATTGGAATTTGTGGCTAAATAAAGGAAATGTTTGACCTTAAAACTGTGCAAATTTGCTTTCAGACAAAGGCAAAATTCTTTGAGAAACAGCTATGATTAATGTAATCCCTCACACTGCTCACTTTGCTTGCTTTGATCATTTAGAAAGCTCTACTAATGGTAGAGACTTCTGTTTCAATGAATTTATTTTTCATTACTTACACATATTATCATACCTCATAAAAATAGTATTTCAGTAAGTCCTACGATTGCCCTAAAAGATACTGTACCACTGTTTCAACTTTTTTGCACAATATGTAATGCAATCTCTTGTTTATTCATCTACTTTCCTTTAAGACAAAAGGGCAAATTAAAGCAATACATATATGTGAGTTTTATACTTGTTTATAAATAACCATCTATTTTTAACCATCTTAAAAGCATCTGTGGCTGTCACTACATCATCTGGTAGCAAATTCCATTTTCTTAGAGAGAATATGTAGCATCAAAAATCTATTCATATTTATGAAGAAATTACTAAGGTCTATGCCTGCTGCAGTTCTGCTGTGGGAGAATAGAATTGGATGAAAATAAATTGCCTATAGTTCCATGTTCATCAGATTTTTTTTCTCTTAAACATCATAAACTATTAAGACATGTTGCATTAAGGCACCAGTCATATGCTACTGTGTGAATAGAATTAATCCCATCCAGTAAAGATAGTAACTATAACTGTTAAAGTTTAAGATTACTCTAATAAGGGTGCAATCCTATATATGTTTAGAAAGAAAAAAGTCTGCCAACCTCCAATATTCCCCAGTCACCCATGTGCCCTAAATGTTCACGTTTATAGAGGAATGATATGCAAACTTACTGTGTATGATTATTAGCCCTTCAGAATCACTCAAGAAATAGCCACTTTTAGGTTATACGACATTTTACTTTTCTGTGCTCCACAACTATCCATAATAGTTTCTAGCACATCCATTGATTAGTCTAGCACTTTAATTCTTAATGGAACTGTGGCACGAAGTTGGATGTTAAAACCTACTAGACTATCACCTACTAGACTATTACTATTAGTTACTAATTAATAGAATAAACAGTAGTCTACAGCTGCAATGCATACATGGCTAGTTACTCTCGTGCTACTGCACAGCTGTGCTTAATATAAACCTGACATTCACATCAGCTGTAAGAGAAGGATGGTGATTGGCTGAGTAACCTCTGTCAAAATTCTCCATCCATGGGTGATCCTAAGTTTTGGTCTTAGTGATATTCCGACATACATACACCTTTTCCCTACCCTGAAACTAAAGCAGCAGGGGCAAGGCAATGGCTAGAGCACCTGCTCTGCATGCAGAAGGCCCCAGACCCAGTCCCCAACATCTCCAGGGAGGGTTCAGAAAGGAGCCGCTCTGGATAGCTACTGCCAGTCCGTGTTGACAGTACTAGGCTGGTGGGCTGTCTGACTCGGCACAGCTCGGCTTTTTAAGGTGGAATTCTATGCAAGCTTAGACAGACGAATGGCCTGCAACTTTCATCTGTCTAAACATCCTTAGGATTGCACTCCTAGGAACTTAATCCTGTTCCCCAAGCACTCATCTGGCCACTGAATACTTCCTCTTCCCTTCCCAGTGTGACAAGTGTGCAGTGACGAACAACCCTCCTTCACTTAACTAGAAGCAGAGTATCCCACAAACAGAGCATAGGACAAGTATGTAATTTGTAATAATACATGCCCTCATTTCCAACAAACCTTCAAACCCAGGCTAGTGTCCACCATGCACTGAAAGAGGCTCTGAGAGTTACAGATACATTTTCTGGAAATATCAGGCATGCAGTCCACATTTTAAGCTCTTTTTTCCTTTCAGAAGCCAGGCAACAACTTAAGAATAACTATTCTTTTGTAGCATCTCACAGCGCCCAAACATGGAGAATTATGAATGTTTAGCCATGGCTTTACTTTAAAGCAAACCACATTTCCTCACATGGGTGTGGTGACTGAGATCTAAAGCTCCATGGAGGCATGAAGATGAGGAGATATGAGGGATGTCTACAAGGCTAAGACCTGTTGCAGCTTTTCCCTTAGAAAAACCCCTGATTTCTCATTATCATTGGTCTTATGACTGGTGAACAGCAGTGAAATAACTGGGATGTTATAGGAGTGGTGATACAGTTATTTTTTTCCCTTGCTTCTGGTGCCACCATTTTGCTTTTTCTTGAGCTGTTGGCACCACATGGATTCAGAAAAAGATTCAGCTTGTGCAAGGACCAGCATAGCAGGTACCAATGCAGTGTGACTGTCCCCAAATGCCATATTAGGTATCCTAGTCAGGAAATTTATTCCACTCAATGCAGTGGAACATAATTATTTTGATGTAGTGGGCCTCCCACTGAAGTAAGCAAGCGAGGTTGAGGCTACTGGTCACTACTCTGAATACCACAACATGAGAAAAACTGTGGGAAGTTTTCAAAGTTTAGTACCCCCTAGACAACTGAATTTGAGGGTGAATCTATGAGTTGCTTTTTAATGCTTTGTAACAAAACTGAAAGGCATTACCTGCTATCTGTAGAAGTGTGACTGTGTGAGCATTTTCCGTCAAACTCACAAATCCAACTTGGTTTCTAAAGTGATCTGTTCCTTGAAAGGATAAATTCAACTGCTTTCCCTGTAGTAGTTCTTCAATTAAACCTTTGCTCTCCAAGAAAGCACCAACTGCACTGTCAGGAGAAAAACATACATTATCAGATCTGATGCAGAATCCTTACTTTAAATAACTGTTATTCATCCCCTTCAGGAACACCAAATCTCATTCTTGAGGATCATGTTTCAGATCTTCCATTTGTAGAACATGGAGTGAATTAAAATATTATCCTGCATATCTAAGTGTTTATTATATCAGTTCTCAGTATGATGCGAGCTTAGGACAAGCTGCACATTGCAGATAAATGTGTCTTTGGAGACTGCAAGAGAGCTGGTGTGGTGGCTAAAGTGCTGGACTAGAGACCTGAGAGATGAAGGTTTTAGTCCCCACTTAGTCACGAAGCTCACTGGGTAACTTTGGGCCAGTCACTCACTGTCAGTCTAGCCTTCCTCTCAGGGTTGTTGTTGTGAGGATGAAATAAAGCTACATAAGCCACACTACATTCCATGCAAGGAAAAAAGGTGGGATATAAATGCAAGTAAGAACAATAACAGGAAAGCTGCTTGCTGATGCACCCAGATACACAAGCTGTTTTTCTCAATATGGTTCCAGGTGCATTTGGGTACAACATACAATATGCTTCCTAACATCACAAAATCTGTAACAGAATCATATGGCATGGAGCATGCCAAAGTCATTCATTTTCTATTGAAATAAAAGGAGTTACAAGACATTCCTTCAACATGAGTTAGTGGCTCTATCTGCACATTCCGGGTGGGAAATAAGCCATGGCACCTTGTCTAACCCTCCACACCCATGTTGCAACAGCCCATGCATTCTGTGGGACTCATTGCTATGGCAACAAGCCCCTCTAGCCTGGTTTGCACTATGCACCAGGGGTAATTAGGCTAATCCCGCCTGCACGGGGGGGGGGGGAGGATAAGCAACTATGGTTTATTGTCCCTTCTGTGACCATGCACACCTGGTCATGGCAGCATAATGGAGAGAGCAGTCTTTCCCGACCTGGGGTCCTCCAGAAGCAACTCACAGCACTGCCAGCCAGCATTGGCAATGCTGGTTCAGAATTTCAATCCAACACATCTAGAGGACACTTGGTTACGGAAGGCTAGGATAGAGTGTAGATCCAGAGCTTGAGAGACAGGAGTTGAAGCCCTGCATAGATATGAAGCTTGTTGGGTAAGCTCAAGCCAGCCCCACAAGGCTGTTGTGAGGATAAAATGGGGGAGGCACATATGACAACATGGGAGAACAGGATAAAAACATAATAAATCAATATAAGCATGGGATTTGTGTACCTATTAGCAGGGTTGGGACCAGAGCCTTAAACATTGGCTGAATTGTGGCTTTTCAAGAGCAATTATTTCCTCCTCCTATGTGGCATATTTTTTTATTACTGAGACAGTGTTAATGGCCACTAGGTGGCAGTAACTACCTGATGAGCAGCAATCTTCAACCAACCAGAGAAAATCTACTCAGTAAATACTCTCTGTTGGAACAAAATGCCACATTTATTTTGACTCTACCTAGTATGCAACTTAGTTGTTTTCCACTATACTCCCAAAGGGAAAATTCAGAGAAAATCTGATTTTTTTTTTAAACTAAGCAGAACCAAAAACCTGATCAAAGCAATTATTTCCTTTTACAGCTAGCACCATGGCGTTGACTCTGAGCTCTGACCTGGACAAAGAAAAGGAACAAAATTCCAACAACCTTAAGGAAATATCTGGAGTTACTGGAGTGCTTACATTTGTGATCTAGCAGTCAGTGCATACACTGAGAGCGGTCTTTCCCGAGGAAAGGAAGCTTGCATGCTGCCTTTACAACACCAAACAGAGGCAATTTCAGAAATCATTTATTAATTGCATTCCAGGTGTCTGATTTCCCCAAAACACAATTAAAAGGATACATAAGAAATGGTTAGGCCACATAGTCACTGATTTTCCCTGGTTTAGACATGTCAGAGAGAAAGGTAAATATTTGCAGGTGAGAGATGTGTTTTTCTTTTTACCTACCAAGATGGAAAGCCACTCTTCCCTCCCCTTTGCCAGTTTCACTTGACTTGCATTTTCTCCAGGAAAAAAATGCTTTTATAGCAGTCCTTCAAACCTTCCCCAGAGAATTTCTGTATTAACTTTCTTTAGTCAAGGGCAGACTTGTAAGAGGCAAAGCAGCAGGAAAAACAGATGTATAAGTGACTCTCTTCAGTTCTTTCCCTTCTGCTGTAATGTGCAAATGAGGAGTGCAGTCCTTGCCCAGATATCACATCACATCACAAGCTTGTCATGCTGGTGACACAGGCTGTACTAACATATTATGTTACTACTTTTAAATCTGTGGGCCATAACCTTAGGAGGATTCCCCAACCAAAAGTGTTGGAAACAATTCCCATCTTTCCCAGCCAGCTAGGGATGGTAGGAATTGTAATCCAACACATCTGGAGGGTACCAGCCAGGGAAAGTTGCCCTAGACTTTCTCTACAAAGTACAATTCTGGGAGAAATACTAGAGAACAAATAGTAAGAAGAGAAGGCCAGTTCACTTCAAATGTCTACAAGAAGAAGAAATGAGAGAAACTCCCAAGAGATAATGGTAATGGTGGTGATGTTGATTTAGGATTCATTTCAGTTTGGCATTATGCCACAGAAAATGTAATTATTTCTAGGATGCCTAGAATGTAATTTTAATAATTCAAAACATAACATGTGTTGTGAAAATGTTCAATTTCCTTTTAGTCTAGCTTTCTGCCCTACAAATTACTTTTGTTAAGGACAGAGTCAAATTGAGGTCAATGTACTCAAGCAAGTATTTCCACTGACTTCAATGCTAAGCTTAACGAATAAAGAGGCTGTGACCCTAAATTCCTATTATGATTAAAGCAGCAGTGCGTAAATGCAATTATTAGAGGAGCTACCACTGAGGATTATTCAATAACTGCAGGACCCAGGGATGCACTGGGACATGTGCTGGCTGCAGCCCGGCTCCTCTCAGGAAAGGCCATACTTGCAGAGAACAGAAGATCAACAGGCTGGGTATTTAAACCATTTGTTCCATGTGACTCACTGATGAACACATGTAGCTAGTCCATGAGGGATCAGAGGGCTGCCTAGTAATTCCCCTGCTGGGTGGAAAGCCAGCTGATTTCCCAAGGTGATTAGATACCTTTAATGAGGGCTGGGAAGGCAGCCCAGCAGGGTGGGTAACCACTGTTTGGAAACGCAGGGGAAGAGATGGAGTGTGCTAAAGGGAAGCAGCTAGAGAGGCCAGGACCCTGTTCCCTCTGAAAGGCTGGCAGCTTTGCAAGCACAGGTGCATTGAGAGAGCCACTGTGGCACGTGATTAAATGCTGGACTGGGACTTGGGAGAGACAGGTTCTAGGCTCCACTTCACCAGGAAGCTCAGTCAATGACCTGGCAAACCACTTCAAGCTGTTGCTGTTGTTATAATTATCATCATCATTGATCTAATATCATCATCATTACTGCAGATAGGAAGCTACTTTACACAGGTTCAGATCACTGGTCTATCAAGCCCAGCACTGCCACCACTGAAGGGCAACAACTCAAGCAGGTCATTTTCAATCCCTACCTGGAGCCACCAGAAACCAAACTTGAGCCCTTCTGCAAATAAAGTCTACCACTCTTCTTGCAAGCCCTAAGAGTGAAACGATGCTGCAGAGAAGCTCAGACAGACCAGGCACTGAGCAAGGGTAAACCACAATACCAGAAGAATGTGATCTTTACAGTTGGTGCTGTTGCCCAAGGTAATGTATGTGGTACAGGGAAGCACACAGTTGAGACCAAAGCTTGTTTTAAAAATAGGACAGCACATGCAACAGAATCTGTGTTGCTGACAAGAGCATAGGGAAAGTCTGAGTACTTTCCAGAAGTGATACAACACTTTAATAGCTGGGTTTCAGTGGCAGGTGGGAAGCTGGAGTCGGGGAGCATGCTTCTGTGTGGCCACAGCGATGACACAAGCAAGCACCGATCACATACGCTAACTGGACTAGGTGGGTACCTTCCATTCTTCTAAAGCCAGTGCTGAAGCCATGTCACCTATCCAGGTAAACTTGCTGAATAATGTGGCTGGAACCAGCAAATGTGAAGACTGCTGCGTAAAGTTCGGGCTGGTAGGATTCCCCACTCCCACATAGCCAATATACTGCAGAAGTAACATACCAATCAGGGCTCAAATCTACATTTTTGTGGAAGAGTTAGCTTGATTATGCATTTCGAGACCATTTTTTATGTCCCTGTGTCAGCCAACAACCAACCATTCCTTGGCTGCCTGTGATGGGATGCCCTGCTATACAAACCCAGTCATGAGTCCCTAGCTGAGCCTTTCAACATGAATATGCTAAAAATTGCAGCATTTCCATTGTTTTCTTTTGCTGAATCAAAGCTTTTCAGAATAAGGGTTTTGAGGATTTCAGCAGCATTAGCTTTCTGCGCAGTTTTGAATTAAGAGGAGGAATGTGTTTCCTCATGTCTGATGAGCGTATTCCCTAGTAAATAAGTGTTATATTTTATTTCTTAACCTCTCAGAAATGTGCACTACTTATAAAGGCCTGCTTTGCCACATTCTCAGGCTTCTTGTTCTCTCTCACTCCTGTAAGACCTTTGCCTGGTTCCCATCCCTGTAATACAATTTGCTCCTGATTTTTGGATGTTGCTCAAATGCCAGCAATTTCTGCAGGCTTTAAGTCCAGTGCATCTGACAATATATCCAAATACAACTTGATAAAAATTCAGCTAATAAAATATGAATTATCAACTTCATTAATTGAAAATAGTGAAGTGTTTGTCACAGTGGAAGGGAAGAATTTCTAAGATACAAGTGGCCCCCACTGTGCAGTTCAGTGGCTAGAAACCAACTGGAGACTTCCTGGTTTCTATACCTGGACTGTCCCCTGCCCTCGGGCTTCTGGGCCCATGCCAAGCAGCCACCTTCACAGTTCTTGCTGTTCTCATCATTATTTTAGAACCGTCAGTGAAGCGCAGTAATTGCAGTGGTGAGTCCCAGAAGGAGTCACTGAACAGGGTAGAGGGTCAATATCACTCCTTTTTGGAGTAGCTAGAGAGTAGTTTAACAAAGTGAAGGACACTGGGAAGTATCAGTTCAACATTTAAAACTGAGAGAATCACATTGCCAAGAGAAAGATATTGTTTCCACAATTTTGGGGAACATACTCCACTGGCTTTCCCACCCATTTCTGGTGCTTTGGAATTACCGGACCAGGACTCGCCTCTCTCTTTTCGGTATTTCTGCCCCAGGTCCCTTGCATCTATGTGCAAATTAGCCTTTATGCAACCTCATTTTGTCAATTTCCTTTTATGTTACATAGTGACCTTCTCCACTCCAGACTGAAGGAAACAAGGAGATTAAGCAGACAAGACTATACCAGTCAGGAGTCGTAAGGGCACACCAGTGAAATAAACAAAAAATAGCCCCCTAACTGCACATTTTTTGAGGCACCAAATTTATTTTATTTTATGCCAGGGAATGAAAAGAAGTAGCAATTGGAATAGGAAGACTGTTTTGCTTTAAAGTTCTTGGAACACATGCCAAAGTAGACTGGAGAGGAGGAAGAAGGGAGACGATAAGCCACGGCAAGCCCAATTGTCTGCTGGCCAAGACATGGGTTGTTCAAGAAACAAAGCTTAGCATGATGTATGAACCCATCCGTTCCCTTGTCTTCCATGATTTACTGTTATTAAATTACCAGCCGCTAGCTGCCACACTGAGTATCTTCAAGGCCACACTATACTTTGCAGAAAGCAGATTGATTAAAAACAACAACTCAGCTCTTGTCACTTCCAGATCCTGTAAGCATGGGGCCAAATGCATGAGCCGAATTCAGCAGCTCATCCACTTGGAAATAAGTTTCACTGAATTCAGCAGGCTTTATTCTTACATAAATGTGCTTAGGATTCCCATCCTATGCTAGTAAAGAGCGCCAGGAACCATTTCTTTTTTGCAATTCATTGGCTCAAAGAAAAGGCTCTATCAAACTGGTTCCTAAGCAGTAATAATTTAAGGTTCATGATTAGAGAAATCACTATCAACCAGAATGTGCTCCAAGAATGCAGGATATAGGTAACTTGCCAAACATAAACAAGATTGGCTCCAGTCAATGCCTGGATGGGAGATACCTGAGAATTCCCACTACAATGCCTTGAATTCCATGGTGGAAGGCAAGATAAAAACAAAGTAAAATAATAATAAATCATATTATTGGCTTATAGGATGTTAAATCAACATAACAAGAAAGATGATGTTACTATTACACAGCAGGGACAGCTGCAGTGAACAGATAATTTCATAGACTTTTGGTTCCAGTGTTTCCATACTTTTGCAGCCATCTATAGGTGTCAACTTCAGATAACACTTTTAAACCTTGCCTTTCCCATGACTTCACCTGAGGCTGCCACCCTGAACAATATGGGAAATAATACCTACTTTACAGAATCACTGTAAGACAAACCTATGGAAATGCATTATTGCCACTATGTCTTCAATATCTCCTTACCTCCCTTTCTCCCATGCACTCTTTCAAATCTTCATTTCTCCTCTCTACAGACATGTTCAAGAGATTTCCTCTTATCTAGTAGACTGAAATCATTATAGAACAGTTAAAAGTACTGATGTCAGACTATGAAGCAAAGGAAAAGTTACTAAACTCTGGCTTATGCATTAACATTGGAGCACTATTGCAAAATTAGTGATGAATTTGTAAGACTACAATTCAAGTTCACGGCCAAGGTGAGTATGAAGAACACAAGAGCTAGCAGCATCACTAGTGGTGTCTCACTGATGTCATGATTACTTATTAAATAGCAGTGCGTGCAGAATATTTCTGCAGCCCCTTTTTAATACTCCTTCTCAGTTGCCTTTTCTCTCCCATGTTTCACCCCAGACAGCATAGATTTTGAAATGGCCTGTTATTTCAAAGTGAAGCACTTACTTCTCAATCGCTGCTTCACTGGACAAATGCATCACCAAGAGGGTAATGTGCAAAGAGCCATACCGAACCATTGCTTTGGAAAGCCTGTTATCCTTTTGTATTATTGCTTCCTGGAGAGCTTGAATACCATCCATAATCTGAGAGAGAGCAAAGACACATACAAAGACCAAACTGACTCTAAAATTACTGCAATCAAGAGCAAAAGCAAGCAAGCACAGAACATGTTTTGCTCTGCATAAGCCATATTAAAATATACGAGATTATCTAAGGATGCAATAATACCCTTGCACATTTTCCATTATATATCAGTGGAGCTTATGTAGGCGATTTTCTTGGTTCAAGGTGCTTCTTCTTAAACTTTTAAGAAGTTGTTAAAAGGTATTAAAAGTCTATTTAATCTCAGATCAAGAGTTTTTAGTCTGCTTTAGTAAATGTGAAATCAGGGGGAAGGAATTAGCAAATAAAAGGCTATTCTGCAGTCATATCTCAGTAATGTCACAGCTTAAAGACTAACTAGTTAATTATGGCATAAGCTTTTGCAGATCACAGCCCCTCAGACTCTTTGCTGGTTTTGCTGCAGCCGCCTAACATGGCCACCCATCTGGGAATCATGGCAGCAATGGTTTATCCCCCCTCCCCTCAAGCAGTCCAAAGCCACACCCCTCTTGCCTGGTGGAGGCCTTGGGCAAACAGTCTTTCATAGGCTTGCCCATAAATCTCCTAAGGGTGGTTGCACTAGCCATTAAAATGGCTACCCGGGATCTCTTTAAATACATATCCAAGTGTAGATTAGCAGCATGATCCTCCTCTCCACTGAGGCTGAACCCTTTGGGTCAGGCCTGGAATTTTAGTTATCATCCATGGAGAGTGGGCAGTTTGGGACGTTCATTGTATATGAACCCATCCGCTGCAGCCCACATATACATTACAAAAGGAGATCTTCAACATTTTCTCCCAAAATGGCACAGAAGCATCCTTCAGGGCATAAACAACAACGTAAGTGATGCTGTGCTGCCACATGCCAGGCTAGTGCAATGCCAATGGGGTGCCCATTTCTGCGGAGGTTAGTGCAATTGTGCTTGCACAAGTAGTTTATGCCAGCATGCTATAAGCTACACAGTAGCTGCACCTGACATGTATTCATTCATTACACGTGTATTCCACCCATGGCCCAAAGAGTTCAAGGTGGCGCACAGTCTACCCCCAACCATTTTACTCTCACAATAACCCTGTGAGGTAGGTTAAGCTGAACATGTATAATGGGCCCAAGGTCACCAATGAACTCTGTGAGGATAAACACCTGGGTTTCTCTGGTCCTAGATGTTGTACATGCAATTCCTAATCGTGTCAATCGACACAAAATATAACATTGTGTTATAATTATTTCTTTGTTTATGTTGCATATTTATGTTTTTAATGATCTTGGCTAACAAAGTCTTACTAAAGGAAATGACTCTAATTGCTTTATTAAAAGCAGTTTGATAATGAGGCTTGCTTTGTTAAGACTATAATGTTGTTTAAGTTTATTTTTAGATCCAATAATAGCCATCCAAGGAAATGCTTACTGTTAAATTATGCCCAGCCATTTCTGCTGTGCAGAGAAGCAACACAAGAAAAAAGCTACAGAGTAAACAGAACAGTAAAATTACCGTAAATTAAATAATCTACAGTTCATTTGTTTAGATGAGAAATTTCCTGAACTAAACTAAGATTTATTTTTGACCATCAGCTACAGCAATCAAATTAAAATAAGTAATCTAATAAACTTCAAAAATAATTTTCCATTTGAATCCTGTGTATGAAAATTTTTAAAAAACCAGACAACCATTCTTAGAACACTATTTTTAATTGAAAGAAAAAGCCACAATACAACTGGCTTGAACTTCAGCTTTTCATTCTTCAAATAGGAGCCTATGACACAACCAGCTGGTTTGTACCGTGGGATGTACAGGCAACCCTTTTGAATTTTCAAGCCATGACTGTGGCTGGTTGTATCATCTGAAGCTAGTGGAGGTGCACTATTTCTATGATAAACAAACCACTCACAACCCTAAAACAGCCCATTGGTTCTGGGTAGCTGGTTAACCCCAACATCAACCCATCCTTGCTGGGTTCAGACGTGACAAGCAGTGGCTGTGACGATTATTCAAAAGATACTTTGCATGTGCTGCAACCTATTGTGGCGGTAGGGTGTCAGGACCTGAGCTGTTCTGGTGGCCAGAACCAGAGGAACCAGGACCATATTTGCAGGATCAGTCCCACGCCCTGCTGGAGTGCTTGGTCTACTGATGAGTGCCAGCTGGGAGTCCTGGGGGAAGAGCTATATAAGAGTCTCACCCTGCAGATGCATTTTTCTTTCTTTCTCCTATAACACTGTGTCATCCCACCAAGCTGGTTGTTGAGAGATACAGGACAGATAAAAGGAAATACCTCTTCATATAGCACATGGCAAAACTATGAAAGTCACTTTCATAAGATATAGTGATGGCCACCAACTTGGACAGCTCTAAAGACTGGGCAAATTCATGAAGGAAAAGGCTATCAACAGCTATTAGCTCTGATGTGCATATGCTTCCTGCAGCATTAGAAAATGTATGTTCACCAGTTGCTGAGGAACTTAGAATCATGTAACAGTAGAGCTGGAATGGGCTAAGAAGGTCATTGGGTGCAACCCCTTGCTGCACAAGCGACCAATTTACCCCAACCCACTCAGATGGCTGTCCAGCTTCTTTTTTTAATGTCTCTAGCGTGGGAGAGACCACGGCCTCTCTGAGCAAATGATGCTATTATACCTATATCCTGCTTGTGGGGTCCTGTGGTTTGGCACTGTGAACATAATGGTGGATTGGATGGACCATTGGTCTGATCTAGGAAGGCTGTTCTTCTGTTCTTAAACTCCCAGCTAGGGCAGGGGCCTCTTGGATGGGCCAACTCCCTTGTCAGTTAGTGATCTGGGAGGAGAGTATGACTACACCTTCACTTTTAAGTGTCCATAGCCTTTGCAAGGAACACCTCTCACAGCCTTTGCTGTGTGACTCTACCACTGCCTGAGCCTAATATGGGACTCTGCACAAGCACTCTATCCAATCTGGACTTTCTTCTCTTTGGATTCAAAGGAATATGAATTTTTGTGACCTCATTATCCAGAACTGGCTAGCTTGGAAGCTTTGGATACTGGAATCTCTGCTTGTAAGGAAGGACTTCCAAGTCAAGAATGGTCTTGCTTTGGATCCTTACTGTTGAGAGACTTGGATTCACAGTACCCACGGGTCCAACCCACATGCCAGGGTTGGTCTTGACCTCTGTGGTAGTGAGCACTGTGGTTCAAGTCTTCTCGTAGGGTCCCTTCCCTTGACTCAGATCCTTCCTATTTCAGAGGAGCAGCAAGGAGTTGCTCAGATCATAAGGCCAAGACCCTGGAGGCTCCAACTCAGTGGAAAGCCTAGATCACATCTCTTTGGGGGTGTCCTAGTAAGTCAGGCCTGCTATTAGGATTCCTGCCTTTGTCTTTGGATCAGAGAGAATTGATTCCTTACCTTGGTGTGGCATGTCAAGGAATTGGGTCCCTAAGGGATGCTCTGGCCCTCTACCTTGGTGCTGAATTACTTCAGGAACCTATAGCAAAAGGCCATCATCTCTATGATTTCTGATGATTGCAAATATTAAGCTTATGCCACCGGTTTACTGTAATTAAAGGACCTCACTTATTCAGAGTCTTCTGTGTCAAAGTATTAAAATTTATGATTGCAGAAGCGGGCCCCTGGCAGTGGCTTAAATAGTGGCTCCAGCAGTAATTTAAATAACTGTGGCTTTTACCATAGGCTGTGCTGATTGTGAAAGTTGGTCACTGAGATTATTGTGACAAGAAGGACCATTAGCCACTGTGAGACTTAGAAAACTGTTTCCTTCACTCCCTTCCACCAGCCCAGCTTCAAGGAAGCGATCAGAAGTTTTCACTTCCATTTTGAAATAACTACAGTTTCTTGTTTCATCCAAACCAATAAATTCCAGTTAATCTTAACTATGGTTTGTCTGAAACAAACTAATTGCAGACTACAGGTCACGAAGATGACTTGTTTAACACAAACCACAATTAAGATTAAGCACAATTTAGGGTTTCAATGTAATGTTAAACTGCAGTTAAAAATGGAAGTGAAAACTTTTGAACTGCGAGATCAAAATCAAGACCATTATTTCTTTTACTTGATAAAAATGATTGCAATGTCAAATTAAATGTGAACAGACAGAGAAAAGTCACTATGAAGAAGGCAAAATGGCTGCAATAAAGCCTCATTTTCCCTATAGCAGCTTTACACTAATTATGGGATGGGATGGGGGCCTTGATGGATCTATAATTAAATCCTTAAGCTCCACCCCTGACTCCTTCCAACTTTAGCCAAAGCGTGCCCTCCTCCCAGTCTTCTAAAAATAATAGCTGCAGTGGGTGTCAAAAAAAAAAAGGAGGTTTGTCCACCTCATCAGCTGGTGAACACCAGACTGCTCTCCTTTGTCAGGTGCACAAGTACACAGCTATTATGCTATTTAGCTATTTCTACCTGGAAATGACACTCAGGTGGAAAGAACTAGGCCAGAGTAGGCAGAAGGTAGATCCCCAGAATTATTGTCATCGTCACCATCATAACCCTTAGATCTGCCCTCCCACTTGATTAGCAAGAACTCTTAGCTGGCTGAAGGAAGGGTGCTCAAGCCCATGTGCCCCACTTCCTACTGTGGCACTCCAAGTGAGCAGCAGGGAAGGTCTGTTTAGAACCTGAGGCAGCCTGTGCTCCGCTCCCTTCTGCTCAGCTGTGGCACATCACAGCTGAACAATTGGGGGGGGGAGCTATTATCCTGCTTGCCTCAGTGCTCCCACACCATGTCCCTTGGGATACCAGTTTGAGGACTGGGGAGGGGCATAAGGAGATATGGTGTCTGAAGACCCCCCACCCACCCACTGTACATGATTATTAGTCAGGTGCAGCTGGTGTCCCTGGCAAGTTTAAGTCCAGGGTGGCTACATAGCTACTGTGAGCTTAACCTGTTGTGTGAACCCACCCAACATGATTCATACATCAAGTTTGGCCTTGTGAGCTATGATGCATAAATCATCATGTTTAAGAATAAGCTCTGATTCCTCATTTTACCCTGAATAGTAAAAATATGGGATAATAATAAAGAATAAGCTCACCTTTAGATTTGTAATTGGAACAGAGACAAAATAATTAGGATGATCTTGATCTTTCTTTTTCTTCTTCATTTGATTGTCATTTTCACTTTCCTTTCCTGTAGTTCTCTTTCTTTTCTTTGTAACGTATGTTTTAGATGTATGTGTGGCTTGATGAAAAACAAAAAAATGGAGTTATGCTGTGTACATGTGCATAGAACATTAGATAAATGCTGGAAAATGCTATGCTAAGGAGCAATTCAGACATAATGGTCCTGTTCACACAATTATGGTATGCTATGGTAACTTGTTTCAAGCCGTGGTGTGTATACCAGGACTTTTGCCTAAGAACTCACCCAGGCTTGTTATGTTCTCTGGACTTGGGTGTTTTTTAAAAAGAAAACATCTCAAGGGCACATGGTTGGTGGAAGGGTGCCTTCAAAACCAACAAGAAGCTCAATTTCCAAAAAGGTTTCCAGATGTTAGGTTCATAGTTTTGCTAGTTGAGGCATTTTTGCCCTGTCCCTGTTCTTTTCCCCTTCTCCAAGGTTGATTTTTCAACCTCAAAGAAGCAGCCAGCTGGGTTTGTTCTATGCTGGTGGCCAGGAGGTAGGGAAGGGAATTGAAGCATAAATCCCAAGCTGTGTCGTTTGAGCTCCAATTCCAGCAGAGGATCAGGGAATGCCACATATCCTAGGAATGCCTAGGGTCTACAGGAGCCCTCTGCCCATCTGTTTTACGGAGAATCTAGATGGTGATATTTTCAGACCATTATGTTCAAGTGTTTCTGGTTTCATCTTCGTGTCTTTTTTTCAGACCTGAACTGTGGTGATTTTTTAAAAATCTTATGATGAAATTTCAGCAGGACCTTGCCCAATGCAACTAGCAAAGTGCTTATTGAGGCTTCCTCCTGCTACTGGAAGCTTTAATTAGTCATGTTCTGGCTCCTCCTGGCCGCAACCAGCCCTTTAATTAGTTGTTCTGAATCTAAAGCCCAAGCAAAACATTGGTTTTTATTCCATTTTTTCAGTATGGCAGTTGCACAAATCATGTGCATTTCCTTAAAAGCTGAACGCGAGTAAACAAAGAACTTAAAATTCATAAAATATCTCCTGTGTTTAACCTGGGATACAAATACATTTTTGTGGTTAAAAAATTCAAGCACTGGAGCATTTGATGAGAGGTGGGGTCAGCCTCCAAGGACTGCTGCATTTGCACTGCTATTGCAAAAGTCAGCACACAACAAATTTTGGTCCAAATGGAACTTGCTTGGTCACTTCACCGTGAGAATGCAAACTGAAGCAATTTCACCACTATGAATTATTCTCTATACTTACTGCTAAATTCAGCCTCAACATCTGCTTTGGCAAATGGCATTTCCAACATCAAACAACTGATGGAATTGTCAAGACACTGTGATTCCTTTCTTTGCTTTTTTCTTTGCTTTTTCTTCTGCTCCACCGTTTCCCCTCCATCTGGAATGCATTTGAAACAATGAATTTGGTTTTAGATTTCAGGGCTGATGAAATCATCACCAATAAAACTCTGCTCCAGGCTCACAGCTCGCTACAAGGCAGTTTTTCAAGTACAACACGAAAAGCTCTCACAAAGCATTTATTTGTTCCTCCATATATGCAATGTTAGGTTTTGTTTTTAGTGCTCAGTGTATCTCATTAACAGTCCCTAAATACATTTGTGGTTTGATTCTCCATTTGAAAAATGGGAATGCAAGCTGACTGAACTGTTTTATAGGGATCTATTTTCTAGAGTTTGTGCTCTGATTTTCAATCCTCTTCACCAGGGTGAGCCACCCACACTGCTGAATATATAGCTAACTAACATAAAATGAATATTTTACTGCTCAAGCATGGGCATGGTGCTGCCTTGGCCATTTACAAAATCAACTTATTTGCAGCTCATTGTACTGCCGTAATTCATTTTTTCCCCTCTTAGTCTATCTTGCAGTAACATCCAAACTGTGATGTCAGGAAGAGAGGTTTTGGTGCTCTGAAACATTTCACAGGCACAAACCACACAAAAGCTGGTATAATTATGAGGCATTTCTACACATCTATGAAACAGTCTTACTAATCAAAATAATCCTAGCTTTCCTAATTTACATTTTTACCAGAATATTTTGTCCAAAGCGTATTGCGTTATGAGAATTGTTCCTTTCTTACACAAAGAATATAAATATTTTCTTTTCCCTGACAGTTATTCAACCATAACTGGAGCTGACCTTGAAGACAACTCAGAAGATTTGGATGATTTCTGAGGCTGGATCAGTAACGAGTACAGGCCACTTGATGCAAGCCAAAGACCACCACAGGAAGCCTTGTCATCCCTCACCCGTAACCACCAGCAGCCATTCCAGCAGCCCGCGGGGAGGGCCGTTCAATCAGCCCTACTGAAAGCCAGCAGGAAAAGACTGTCTTATTTTGGTGATGATATGTAAGCTGCTCTGGCATTCATTTTGGCTTATGAGCAGCATAAAAGTACTATAAATAAATGATATGTGTCATTATTTTTTTGATTGTCACTGCTTTCAATTTATTTTTGAGGACAAATCAAGGTGATGGTTTTGACTAATAAAGCTATATAACTGTTTGAGACCAAAGTGACTGCCTGATCCCATATGAAATAACTCCTCCTCTAAGATCTTAATCAGAGGCTCTGCTCCAAGTTCCATTGCCTTTTCATATGCATTGCCATTTTGGTGGTGGCAACCTGGTTATAGATTACTGTACTCAATTACCATTTAGGTGCCATGAAAAGACAATATTATTCCCTTGAGCTCCTGACAGATCCTATGCTTCACTCCTTCTTTCATAGTTTTAACTATTGTTCTTCTTGCCATTTGGCATTAGTCTTTATTGTTCGTTGTTACATTATCTGTTAGTTGCTTTGGAAGGTATTGTTGAAGCTGTGATGCAAATCTTTCAAAAATTATAAACATTAGTAAAGATCTTTAAAAAGTTTGGTTTTACTGCTTGATTCTAAAAATGAACAGCTGCTAAAAAGTGTTTTTTTTTTTAATCAAAGGTATGTATATAACAGTGACTTGGCACAAATCATTAGTCCCCCATCTGCTTCACTAAGTTTTCTTTTTCCAATTTTTCTTTTTATCAGTTCAGTTTCTTGCTGATGTTCTATAATGGAAGCAAGCTATGGAACAACAGTGGAATAAGAGACCGGGATTGACTAATGATCCCTAATGATCAGATAGCAATGCTATGCACACTGGAAAGATTTCAAGATGCTATACAAGCCTATGCATGATTACTCGGAAGTATGCTCCATTGTACTCAACAGAACTTACTCTCAGGAAAACATGCATAACATTGCATCCTCATCTGCAGTGGAAGAGTGACCAAGGGGCTGGCAGACACTCTCTGGCCAGCCACAGGAAAACTCAAGCGTCGCTGCTGCAACCTCAGAAGAGGCCTCTGAAGTTGCAGCAAGGACTCCATCTTGGAAGGACACTGCCTCTACCTTGCAGCCTGTATGGGTCCTTCTGCACCAGCTGCGGATCCTAAACTGGATGACTGCCTTCACAGCAGACATGAGAGGGCATCCTGGGGGATTGGGGTAGCGGGGAGAGCAGGGCACTGCGATTCCACAAAAAATCCAGGTGATACCTCAGCCTCTCCTCCTCCGGGACACGGGCAAAAGGCATTGCCAGCCAAAATTAGCTATCTATATCTTGGACTGGGGAGCGGAAACACAGGCAATTCTTGCCTCCTTGCTTCTCCTGCATTTAATTGCATGCCCATAACCTTCTGAATTTGGAGGGTTGTGGGCAGCCATATAAGATGGTGCCTCAAGAGTGTTATCCTTTTTAATTTTACATATACTTTTATTCTGTCTGTATTCTGTTAAGAAAATAAAAGAAAAAAGGGTGTTATCCTAGGCATATTATATTGCATGTATATCCCACCTTTTTCCCTCTTGCTAGGAAGCCAAGGTGGCTTCAACAGACCTCCTCCACATATTTTTATCCTCACAACTGGCCTGTGAGATGGGTGAGACTGAGAGTATTTGACTGGCTCAAAGTCACCCAGTGATCAAGCAGAGACTAGAAACTGGACCTCCCTCGTCCTCAGTCCAACACTCTAAGTACTACACCACACACCTCTCAAAATATTCTGAACTCCCAGTATGCTGGCTCTTTTCTGTTTAACATGCACGGTGTCACCTTTGTTTTGCATTAATAGTAAACATACTTAAGAGCTCGCAGCCTGTCCTTCAATTCAGTTCAAATTAAACAGCAATATATCTAATGACATACCATCTTTCAAACATTTGCTTTCCAGAATTCAGGGTAATTTTCTTCATAAAATGAATTATGCTTCCTTAAAAATGAAAAAATATGACCTTTCTTCAGCATCTTCAAAAAACAAATAATTGTGACAGTAAGTTGGCAGTAGCAGCCTCACATCAGAATTTCACTGGATCAGGAAATATCCTGTACTACAAAACAGCAGATCCTGAAAGCTCTGCTGTTAAGGTTCAGGTATTCCAAATCTAATTGTAAGCCGTCTGAGATGCCATGCATAAGGGACAGCATATAAAAGTTTTAAATAAATAAATAATAAATAACTCAAAGGGGGAAATTTGGTAACAGACATGTGTATTATGTTTTTGTGGCATGCAAAGAAATCCCAGGCTTGACAGATGACGTGTTTAAAAAAAAACCCACACAAACACATGATACAGATTATTACTGCCCTGTATTATGTCTCCTGGATACCTCATCCTGGATGCTAGGGGAGAGAAGCCACCTGATTATGTGCTAATTGGCTTCAATGTGAAGCAGCAAGGGAAGGATAACAAGTTAATTGTTATCTGATCCTGGAGCCTGTGGAGGAGCCACCGTGCCTGCCAGATACCCACTGATTAAAAAGAAATATGGTCTTTAGAGCGTTGTTTCTATGGCTTGTATGGCTTGAGAGGCTAGCACTAGGCTCCCTGGTCAGGCAAGAGATAGTACACTTTCACAACCATTCTGCACATGTAGACCTCATGGGATTTAGTGGGCAGGGGAAAAGGGGAAGACCTATCATTCTTTTTTTTTTAATGGAAAAACTGTGTAGGATCCTACCCACATAGGAGAAAAAGAATACTTGTTTCACTTTGCTCCCATAAAGTTTTGTACATAAGGTCTTGTAATTATAAATTCATAATATGAATGATTCTGCCCCTTCCAAAATAGGGATTTGAAATATTTATATACTAATTCTCAACAAAGCATCCCCGTAGCAGTCTATATAGCAGAAAATCAGCTTACAGATTTCAATAAAGTAATTTATAGCATCTGCAGGGGTGAGCTTGCCCATGCAGCTCTTCTACCCCTGAATGAAGATTCACTCGCTTCATAAACCTGATGGTCTGTCTCAGAGGGCACCTGTACTCATGGATATTTCTTTTTAGTGATGAATTAATTGGATTCAGTGCATCTGGTAAAAATCAGGCCACGATGGCGTGGCTGCTCCTGACACAAAGAAAGCTGATGTAATAGTATTCAGAATTCTCACAGAAAGGGACTTAATGCAGTTCTATGCAGAATACTTATCTAGCTCTAGGCTTATATATTGGTACCTGAATGTATATGTATGGAACAGTATTAGACATAGCACTTCTCACTCACAGATTTGTTTCCGGGGAAAGCCTTGACTTTATTTGATCTAGAACCTACTTGTTCATCTTTCTATTGATCTAGGATATTAACATGTTTTAGATATATACTGAAGATGTTCTGGTGCGCACATGTAAGTGTGAACACAACAAACAAGTCTGCAACCGCATGCAGCGCCCAGATACATTAATTGGGGAGCTGTAAGTGGCTGTTGTGCGCTGTGCACATGCCAGTCTGCCATACTGTGTCAAATAGTCTCAGAAGAGGAGCAAACGGCAAGTGTGACAGTTGAATATACTACACTGATTTCATGGTCAACTGTGACAATAATGCGAAGGAAAGTGACATTGGCCTGGGGAAAGAGGGGTGGCGAAAGTGCCTGCTTACCGCAAATTCAAATATGTATCTTTACCATAATGTAAATGTGACTACTTCAAACAACCAGCATCCAAGAAACCAGGCAAGTATTGAACATAATGATTTGTAGCAGTAACAAGTAAAGCAGGGATTTCCTCAGGGGAAATTATCCAGAGGATGAGACAAACAAGTGAGTCATGGTGTTGGGCTGACTGCGGCTTAACAAATTGCACGGATAGTTCTTTGTAGATCAGAGACTTACTTCAGTATATAATTTATGGTTCTCTCTTATTATTTGCTGATCTATAATTTGAACTAGACTTAGAGAGCAGGTCCCTAAAGGATCCATTATAGCTCCAGGCCATTAAAATGGAGACTGCAAACCTATGCGCGCCTAACTGGAAAAAAGTCACATAGAACATAGGGGCCTTGTTTCTAAGTAAACATGCCTTGGATTGAGCTGTACCTGTAACTTATTTCCAAGGCTATACCTTTCTTTAATATTTTTCAAAGGTATCTTCCTGTCTGAAGCTCTAAACAGACCACAGACCATACTGATTACTATTATGTTATGCAAAGCACAAAAGGATTTCTGAGCTAAATTTTCCACTTGTAACACAGCAAACTACTTTGAGAGATACGTAGCAGATATATCAGGGAAAGCAACTTGAGAACCAAGAGCCATTTCCCACTGCTAAGTCTTTCTTACAGGCTGCAAACCTGCATCCCTGCCACCCAATTAGGTGGAGAAGCAGCAGCATTAAAAGAACTGCAAGCCTGCTACCAAATTTTGGCAGCAAAACTCAGTGGAGCTTTTGTAATGACCCACTTAGCTTTAAAGCAAGCTAAATTTATCCTTTCTAAGGGATTGTAGATGTTGGCCACGAAAAGTCAATGGCAAACTGCTAGGTGTTGTACTGTCACACCACCAAATTGGGAAGACAATGGTAATGAGCGCAGGGCTCACAGTGTAAAACCACATGGTTTTATAGAATCCTAGCCATCAAATATTTTCCTTAGATTTTGCATTTAAGATTCACTCTTAAATGTGTATCCTGCCTATACAGAACAAGAGAGGTGTACTGCCCTTTCCTAGAAGCTTGATGGTTCTAAAATGGTTCTGTTCATCAAATGACCTCTACTAGAACCTGAGATGGTATATCCCTGAATGCTTTCAAACCTCCTTCTGCAAGAGGAGGAGGATGAAAATTGGATTGCAGTCATTCACTGATAGAATATAGCAGATTCCCTGGTCCCCTCTGTTCTGGGCTAGATTGGCAGGCAGGGAGGGATATGAGAAGTCCATAGAATATACCCCATAGTCTACTTTTGTAATTACTCAGGCATTACAACACTTGTTTCCTAAACCGTTTGCAGTAGGAAGCGAACTACTCTGTTTCAGAGTATTTGCATTAAGTGTTTTATGGCTTCATTAAACAGCAAATATTTCAGCTAGCAGATGTGAATGCATGCTTATTTAAAATATATTTATCAATGAAATGATATTTTAAAATATATATTTAAAATAAAATGAGACAGTTGTTTGCAACTTCTGAACTTTAGCAAATAATACTGCTGTGTTCCTGGATTTAAGCCAACTGAAAAATTCCACTCCCTGACTAATTCATAGCCTAGAGTTTTTCTGTGAAAGAAGGTTCCCCAGGGCTGAGGAATAGGAGACTTCAGCAACCTCAATTTAACCTTGAAAGAAGAAGCAGCGATTTCCTAATCTGAACCAATAGTGGGTAAAGTGCTGGATTCAAAGCCATGAAGCTCATTAGAGTGGCACCTGACAAATCATGCTCAGCCAAACCTCCCTCACAGGGCTGTAAAGATACTGTGAGAAATGTATATGTATACTCTTATTTTATTATTTCAGAAGGTTTTATTATTTTATGCCTACCAAACAAAGAGAGATAAAGATACACAAGTGTAGTAACGGCATGTTTAAAATTGAATTACCAGTAATAGGGTGCATATTTAAAAGGTAGCTAGGGATAAAGGACAAAACACAGCAGCTTGCAGTGCCATTTGCTCATTCTTCCAGGCTAATTAGCCCTAAAACAAACTGTTTTTATGGTCCTCTTTCTTACCAGCTGTCTTGCCAAAAAGAGCATTTTACCATGCATGCCACAAATGCAGTACATGCTCATTCAGCTCACCTGCCCACTCACTGTTATTTGTGAGTCTCCACTCAATCTCATGCTCTGGGTTTCAGGCTAGCCACTGAACGAGAGACCTCTCTGTTCACTTCCTTGAGTTCCATAATGGAAAAATGTAACATATACCCCCAGCTTATCTAATACAGATTTTAAACCTACTGCGCAGAGATTTACCATAGGTTCTGTAATACACTTAGCAAATCAGGAATGTCAAGTATTTACTAGTAGCAAAACAGCGCTGCTGTTGTGACACAGACTGAAGAAGGTGCCTGAGGGAGCAAATGTTGAGAGGAAAGCAGTAGAAACACCCTAGCTGTTCCTCCTGGATTGGTGCCCTGGTGGTGGAAATGCTGGCATGTTGCTGATCTGAGCCAGCTGACTATCCTGCCCAGAGGCTTCCTCCAAAAGCAATGAGTGAAGAGGCAAAAAGAAAAAACAGCCAGTCCTGGAAAGCATCTCTATTGCCAAGATACAGGTTCAGGGAGCACACATTATTCTGCTCCTGTTGTACAGATTGCAATGTCACTCGTGGGTAGCAGTATTTGAGCAGGCAGTTGCGAGATTTTTAAGGGTAGAGCACTGCATAGCACACGGTCTGCTCTGCATCCCGACTGACTCTGCTGTCTTTAAATATGGAAAAGGATGCTGTCTTATCACCAGTGCCAAAGTTAAGATTTAACAATCCCTCGGATCAGTTTTTGACTGCAGAAGCAGGGGGAAGCTGTCTTGGGCTGGTTCTGACAAGCTGCACTGCTTCTTTTCTCGACTACCAAGTACAAACTGCTCAGCTATTACAAGGCTGCACACAATAGGCCCTTCTCACAGAATGGCTTGCTTAGATTCCAGGAATAATTCAAACATACAATTTTGATAATAACGTCCTCGGCATATTAACACTCAGCACACTAAGCATGTAACTTTCAATTACTCGGGGCAGCTTTGGCCATAATTACCACCCCTACTAAACACTTACAAAGTGCCTAGCATTCTCTTAGTGCAGCGGGTAGGCAGAATAAGGCAAGCTCACAATCTAACAGACACTAAACGGAAGGAAAAAGGAATGCGGAGGGGAGAAGAAAGCAAGGAAGGGCTGGAGCAGCTGCGCTGCCACCGCCCAGTAGACGAGGCCAGCTTAAGTTTCCCCACTGCAGCGATGGCGGGGGCGCGCGCGCAACATTCGCTGATAAGAGTTCTGGGTCTTTTCTGTTGTGCTACTTTGTCTCAGGTGCAAATACTTGTCTGAAATGCCTCTGGCAACTCCGTTCAACGCTTATATGCTCAGTGTTAATATGCTTTTCAAGGTACCGAGTAAATGAGTGATCGACTACTAACACCAAGACAACACAGCGAAAATAGCGCTTCCCCGTCCCCGGGGGGGTTGGTGGGAATGCGTTACGAGGAGTCGTTAAATGTTAGTCCCCTTTCGTTCGGAACGAAGTGGCCGTTACTGTGTCCCTGTTCCGCTCCTCCTCACCGGTCTGTTGCACTAACTGGCTGGTTGCAGGGAGAGGTGGTCCTTGTCCTCCACTTTCCGCCTCCGCTCCCGGCTTCTGGGATTCTGCCTCGGGAGACGGGCGGTCAAGCGCCTCCATGGCGGTCCTGGAGCCGCCCGATCTCTGCCCCACAGCAAGGGGCGCCCTCCCGCAGAGGGAGATCTGAAGACTAGGGAAAGCAGTTGGCACCGAGTGAATGGGCCGGAGAGTCCGGAGTAACAACTGCAGCGACAGCCGCGGTAGCATGGTCCGCGTGGTGCCTCGACCCCACTCACGGGCAGCAGCAGGCAGCTACGGGAACGCGGAGGGGTCAAAGGACAGCGCCGCTGGGGCGGGGTAGCGAGAGAAAGACTCCGGGCCCTGCTCAACGCCTGGGAAACTACGACTCCCATCATGCAATGCGGCTGCAGCGTGCCAAGGCGGATCTGCGAGCCTGCCTGCAACTCTGTTCTTCAGAATGAGGCGTGGGATGCGATTGTAAACGAGGGAGTAGCACTCCTTCGGCAGCGTCGGCCTTTGTCCCGCAGGCTCCCCATCGGCCCCACGTAGCGAGTGGGTTCGAAGAGCTCTGCTTCGTTTCTTTGCGCAGAGCAGCGGCTTGGACTGGGCGCAGCCAGCCCTGCCGCGCTGCACCTCCCAGACAGAGCAAGGAGGGCGAGCGAGGAAATGGGAGGCTCCGGCTGCCGCTCCTTCGAGACGTTTCTACCGATTTGCTTTGAGGATGCAGTGCGGAGAAGCAAGTGGGACTGAGCCGAACGAGTCCAGTCCTTCATGCGGTTGCCTAGAGAGGTGGTGGGCTCTCCCACACTAGAGACATTCAAGGGGAAACTGGACAGTCCTCTGAATGGGATGGTGTAAATAGATGTCCTGCAACAGCCTGCATGGCCCCTTGCAAATCTACTATGATCCTACGAATAGCAACAGGGAGTGGGCCTGAGGGATTGCTCCTTGTAGCCTGGAGAGGGCTAGGGAGCCTGTCCTTTTTTTCCTGATCACTTAAGAATGTTTACACATCGATACCTAAAAAGCATCTTACAATTTTATCTTTAAAGCACTACAAACTAGATGAACTCTTGCTACTTTTTTGTCTACTCCCCTCAACTTTTGGGCTGACTACAGCTCTGCTTGCAGGTGCACCCCCAGACTGATCACTGAAGCCTTTTCAGGCATGTAAAGCAGTCTTTCCCGACCTGGTTCTCTCTGAATGTTTTGGATTTGAGCTCTCATCAGCTCCAAAGCAGCATAGTCAATACTGTCGGAGGAGTCACAGTCCCACTGGGCAATGGGAGAGCATCTGGAGGGTATTGGATTGGGATATGTTGATGTTGATGCAGAGTCTTATTCAGTCCTCCCTGGCTTGATGCGGGATCAGCATATGTGATGTGCAAACAGCACTCTGTGCAAGCTGGCTAATCATGCTGCAACATGTAGGTCTGTTTAACTTAGAAAAGAGGTGAGGGGAGACGTAAGAGGTGTTCAAAAGTATGCATGGTGTGGAGGTCATGGACAGACATTTTTTCCTCCCTTTCAGTTCTAGAACCTGGGATCATCCCAAGAAGCTGATTGATGGAAAATTCAGGGCAGATAAAAGGAGATACTTCATACAGGACAGAGTTAACCTATGGGATTCACTTCCATGAGATGAAGTGGTGATCACCAACATGGAAAAAGAGGACTGGACAAATTCATGGAGGAAAAGCCTATCAGTGGCTACTGGTCGTGATCATTAAATGCTACCTCCAGTATCAGAGGCAGTATGCCAATGTGCACCCGTCACTGGCGAACCTGGCAGTTGCCCTTATGACCTAGTTTTGGGTTTCTTGTGAGCAGCTGGTTAGCCACTACAAGCAGAATGCTAGGTTAGGTTAACCCTTCGTCTGATCTAGCCTGGCTCTTCTTACGCTTCTGTACGTTCTTCTTAGGCTTCACAGACTCCTGGGTAAGCACCCCAGTGATCAAGGGATGGAGGCTCAAGCTCTTGATCATTTTGGTACCGCTCCCTTTGAAATTATTTTCCTTTTTGCTACTGCCCACCTATTTGGTGCTTTCATTTTCTTCAGCATCTTCATCCTCATGCAAATATTTTAAAATTTGCAGACAAACATGGTGGCAGGAGATGCTCAGAGGCAGGTCGCAGGTACAATTTTGCTATCTTCAAGTAGGGCTAGAATATTCGAATTTCTAATGTTGAAGAGGTACTTCAAGTCATTGTTGACAGCACTGATGAGTGAAATAAAGCAGCCTTCAGTGGCTAAATACTGGGAAAGACAATGGAAAGGCTCATAATAGAGAAAGCTCTAGAAACGCTAGATAGGGATGGGAGGTTGGCAGCCACACAGCACGGATTCCGTAAAAACAGTTTCTGCTAAGGTCTTGAGGTGGCTTGACTGAGGGGATACAGTAGATGTGTTTTACCTGGATCTCGGCAAGGTCTTTGACAAAGTGCCACATGATATCCTAGTTGGTAAATTGTTGAGCTTTGGAACAGATCAATGCACTGTCTGATGGATTAGGGCATGATTGATGGACCACAAGCAAAATGCAACTATCAGCAGGGAATCATCAGGATGGCAGCTGGTGACAAGCAGAATTCCCCAGGGCTCAGTTCTGGGACCAATTCTGTTCAACTTTTTTATCAGTGACAAGGAGGAAGGGATAACTAGTCTGCTGACTAAATTCACGGATGATACCAAGGTGGGGGTGGTGGCCACAACTGCGGAGCAGGTGAGTCAGATTCAGAAGGATCTGGACATGCTGTGGAAGTGGGCGGGGGACAACAGGATGGCATTCAATGTGGATAAGTGTAAGGTCTTGCACTTGGGACACAGGGGGACAAGTGTCTGGAGAGCAGCGCATGTGAAAGGGATCTTGGGGTACTGGTTGAACATGAGCCAGCAGTGTGACATAGCAGTTAAGGCAAATGCCACCCTGGGATGTATAGCCAGAAGCATGGCTTCCAGATCTAGGGAGATGTTGATACCTACATGACTCCAGTACACCCACAACTGGAGTACTGCGTCCAGTTCTGGGCTCTACATTATAGGAGAGACATAGCTAGGTAAGAATCAGTTCAGCACACGGTCACAAGAATGGTAGCTGGATTGGGAGGGATGACATATGAGGAGAGATTGAGGGAACTGGGTCTTTTCAGCATGGAGAAGAGGAGACTCTGAGGGGATCTTCTAGCAACTTATAGGTATGTGAGGGGATGTCATGTGAAGAGGGCTGTGATCTGTTCTTCCCTGCAGTGAAGGGCAGGACACATTCCAATGGGGTAAAGCTCAAGGAACCAGGCTTCAGGTTGGAAGTCAGGAAGTACTTTCTGACAGTTAGGACCCATAGCATATGGAATGGGCTTCCAAGGGTGTGTGGGCTTCCAAAGATTGAGCTTCCATCAGTGAGGGTGTACAAGGAAAGATTGGACAAACACATTTTGGGGAATACATGAGCGGAGCTGGCTTGGGCTAGACTAGATGTCCCGGGAGGCCCTTCTGACTTGCTTTGTTTCTGTGTTCTGTGTGGTGCTATCACTACAGTGCCAATAAGATGTGCCTGGCCCTTGAATCTAGAAGCATAAGTTCCATCAGTGTTACACAGTGGGAGAGAAAAATACCTTGGCATATGTGCAGAGGTATACTCATCTGTATACTGTCACAGGGCAAGCTGAGTATAGGTACTTGGATCTCCCAATCTGGTCTCCTCTATTTTTTTCTTAACTGCAGTTCCCATCCACCCCAACCATCACAGTAGCAGTGGGAACTGTAGTCCCAAGCATCTCAAGGACATCAGGTTGGAGAAGTTTGGTACAAGGGAATGTCCTAACATGTTAGATTCACAGGACAACAAAATTACAAAGGAACCTATTAACCTATTTAGACCTAACCCACAGGAAAATTTTTTACTTAGAAAAATAGATGCTGAAGTGATTTTTTAAAATAATTGTAGTTTTTCTAGCTTGCAATAGTGTTTTGTGGGGACAAAAATGTTACTGTCATACCATTAGCAAAACTGGTATTAAATGGCTGCTAGTAGCTACATCAGAAACTAAGAGAGGGAAGGAGTTAATAAGACAGTGGAAAGAAGCAGGGGGGGGGGGGCAGGCAGCCTTCATATGGAACCAATTACTGTTTGTATAAAGGATGTTCCCTCCAGAGGAAGAAAGCTAGCTAATGGAAGAGATCTCTTTCTAGAAAGGCACTAACTCATATCTGAAGCAGCTAGCAGTGAATGGAAATAGCTTTTAAGCCTTTTTCATGCTGAGAGGAAGGAATCCCTAATTAGACATGGTTAGCAAGTTTCTACAGGAGTATGATTTTGAACAGAGCCATGTGAATAGCTATTTCTACCAGTGGTTCCTGGTTTTGAACTATTTCAAATATATCTTTATATTGCTGCAAACTACAACTCATGCCTCCTTTGTTATTCACATTTAATTTTTAAAAATAAAATCTATTTTCCACCATCCAGTTGAATCATCCTCAAGATGGCTTACAAGATTTATATTTTCAAATTTGAGGTGTACTGCTCAGAACTGAGTAACAAGTTTGCTTTCCCTTTTACCTCAAAACTAGTATTCTCCTGTGTAACACTAACACCAGTTGGACCTGGAATGGTAAGCTACATCTTACTGTATTTGCATAATAGGTTAAAGGGCACATCTAAATGAGATTTATGTTTAAATTGCACTTACAAAATTAAATCACACCCAGATTTAAACAAACGCATGCACACACCCCTGCTTTTAATCTCAACAGTTTCATCATAACAGTCAAGCTGTGCTATTGTTTTTGTGTAGAGAACCTAATTTTTGGCTTTATTACAGGTAGAACAAGAATACTAAAACCCCAAAACTATACAGGATAACAAATTACAGGCCTCTGCTTATTTCTTATACAACAGAGACAGGAAATAACAAATATGCTGACATTATGTCTGTAGGGACTCATAGTAGTTAAACTTTCAATTATGGGGAATACAGAAGTGGATTTATGATGGATAAGTGGATAGCACAGTGGTTTGTTTGCCTGTTGTGGAGGTCACAGTTCATCTCAGGCTGAACAATAGGGCTGGTGAGGAATCAGTGACTATGCTTGAATTTAAATTTGCACATAGGCAGAATGGGCTTAAGAAACCTGGTGAAATGGAGAGGACCCCTAGAATAGAGGCTTTATTGCGATGGGGCGGCATAGAAATGTTTTAAATAAATAAATAAATATGGATATAAACATTAGCATCCAAATTTCAGCATGAATATAAACTTTAGCAACTCTGTACCTTCTGGATGTTTTTGACTACAAATGCC